ATATCAGCAATTCATATCAGTAGTGGGTATGGTTTATATACTGGGCAAAAAATCAAATGGTTATCTGCAAGATTTAAGAAAGAAAAAAATGCGTAGTCCTCAACAGAAAGAACATTCTTAAATGTGCAAAACAAATCTTTATAATATCTTTATTGGTTTTCCAGAAAAAGGTCATGTGGCATTAATTTTCGAACATCCCTTGCTTTGCTTATGTGTTCCTTCTATAGTTTAAAAGAATGAAACAATTAGTTTCAGAAATAAAAGTGAAATCTTTTAGGTCTTTTTCTTTACAACCAAAACACCTTTGCATGTACCTCATTGAGGAAGTTACATTCCAATGTAAGACATACTACTGCCCATGATGCCATGCCAACATGACACTAAAATGCACCACAATTTGACGATTCATGAATTGGCCTCTGAGACCTTTGCCATAGAAAGAGGGACCTGGGCGTGCAGCACAATTTCAATTTATATTGTAAATTTGGCTAGGCTAATTGAACATCCCATCATCATTTACTCCTTAAACAAAATGTTTTACACTAATGTGACCTTATCACTTAAGTGTGACATTGACCTTGAAGCGAGGAATCTGTGTGATGTCAAAACATCTGGTAGAAATGAACATTTTTGCCAGGTTATATGAAAATCCAATCATCAGTGAATGACTAATATTCGAGACACGAAACATCACACCACAATTTGACCTTTGACCTCTAAGTGTGACATTGACCTTGGACCTTTAAACTTTATATGTAAATGCACCTTCACGAGTTGTTCATACCACATCCTATTTCTGTTAATGGTCAAAAGTTCTAGGTAACGATGACCAACAAGTGCAAAGACTTTAAATTGTCATATAATCTAAGTGCTTTGACCTTACGCATTCAAACTTTTAATATATATACACACTTTGGTTCGGTACTGAGACACTAACCATTGACTTTGTTACTTTAAAATATGTGTGGCAGGCATTACTTACCATGTCGCATCATCATCTGCTGTTTGAATATTGTTTGAAAACAATTTAAAGAGACTCGGATACTTTGTACTTTTGTTAATGAGACAGGAGCAGGCACGAGCGAACTTTGTTCTAGACATACATTTATAATTAAACTTGTCAGTTGACCTAAAGTCATCGTCATGTTGTAAGATAAACTACAAATGGCATATGTTGTTTGGATTGGGACTTGTCTATCAAATTTGGTCGGACACATTGATTGATGGATTTCCAATTACATTTAATATTTTTAAACAGATAACATCAACAATCTTACAACAGCATACTTGACGGGCCATGGAAATAAAAATCTCGAAACAAAGTGATCCCTCGGAATAAGCCATATCTGCAATTCTCGTATGTTAGTATGCAAAACACAAATATCATTGACTGTTCCAGTTTTGAGTTTCTTGTGATTAATCCAAAACACCAAGCTCATTATTGTCATGATTGAAATATTTATTGCGAATACATGTACAAGTGTATATATAAGTACGCTACTACTATGACGTTTAGCCATTTTATTGAATATATAAAAGTTATAGATTGAACACAAAATATACCCTATAACAGACTATGTAAATCTTTGACCTCTATGTGTGACCTTGACCTTGGAGGTAGGAACACAGACGTTACGCATATATCAACATAAGAATAATATCATAATTGATCAAAAAAGAAAGAAAAGAAATCACTGTCGATTATCAATGAGGATTGTCTATTAATGTTCCACAGAAAAAGGCTGTCTCTGTTTATCTTCCTAGCCTTGTAGGAGTACCGGTTTCTCCACTGGATAGCAGAGCGCTCGGTGCAGATATCTGCGGCACCACTGAGTGCGATATAGCGGTAGTTACCGGAATAGGTTCAGTTGTATAATCTATGTACATTAGATGGAGGAATTTTGAAATAATTTGGCACAAACGTTCACCATCGTAAGAAGATGTACCCGGTATGCAGACACATCTCTAACCTTTAATGATGAAGGTCAATGTCAAGTATGGGTCAACACCAAATGTCGACATTTCAGACGAAGGCTGAAGTTCTAACAGATTAGTTATAATCTGTCCATGTGACCTTGACCTTCAACTCAGGGATTCGGCTGTATATAGCGACACCTCGTCTCGTGATGGTGGACATTTGTGCCAAGTTATTTCAAAACCCACTCATTCATATAGAAGTGGACGTTTAACCTCTAAGTGTGACTTTGACCTTCAGTGCGGAAATGTGTCTTATACTGGGACACATCTTATGATGGTGAACATTTGTGCTAAATTATTTCAAAATCCTCCATCCATGTAGAAAGAACAAAGCGGTGACGAACTATTTCAACCCAGTTTGACAGTGTTGTGGATACATAATTACATACATTTGTAGTAGCTATTTATATATTTACAGCTGTGTAGTCGTGTTGCATTGTCGTTTTAGTCGCAGGTTGTCTGCTAACCATACCAATTCATTGAGCTCGAAAAACAATTGCAATGCCGTTTCAGCGTCATGTGCCATTTGTAAATCCGGTTTCAAGAGTTGAGCCAATTCTTTAAAGTCTTTATTTCTGTTCTTCGGAATGGAATACATTCGTTGACAACAAATTACGTCTTGTATATCAACATTTGTACCGAAACTTGACTATCAAATAGTTCTGGTAAATAGAACATAACGTCAGGTTTTCCATAATTGAGCTCGTTATTCTTTTGGGGTCTAATAGCGTGAGTATTCCAGTTTTGAGCAATTAGATCAAGGTGTGTTTGAATTATCCATGAAGCAAAATTTCAGATTAACAGAATGGACTGGGTCGAGTTTATCATATCGTCAAGAATCACGCAAGTCTTTAAAAAAAGCTGAGCCACCACTGTAAATCTTGTTGTCGTAAAGAGCCCAACCAACGTTCAACTCGTTGATTGGAAGTACTTTTACCAATTATAACACTTCTGTGTTTTGCGAAGTGTCTTTTCAATTGACTTCAGGGAATTAAAAAAAAACAACTTTGAAATGAGTTTTGGATTATTGTTTGTATCCGATACCACTAGCCAGAGCAGTCTTCTACTTTATCTATCAATAATACCATGGATACAAAATCCAAAGGGTTTTAACTTGCAATAACCATCTAAATGCCAAATATATTTGGGACCTTTCGCACAATAAACACGCCTTTTGAGACGATGGGTTCTTCTCAGATCAGAAGAGTGACCTCACGATCTAAAATCTTCATTACCTCCATAACTTCCTGATGAGTTGTCTTCACATTATGATTAATTTGAAGCCGTTGCCACAAAAACATATAACCCATAGTTTGTCCACAAGTATTCAGCTCTTTGTGAATGGTATCTAGGCTGTAGGGTTGTAATCCCCGACGTTTTAAGTTAAACTTCTTTAGGAATCTATATAATTGCCGCATTGACAACAATACCTCATGTCTATTTAATAAAAACCCTAGAATCTCGGTGTATTTGAAACCAAGTTTGAAATATTCAATAATAAGTTCGGACCTCTGATTAAAAGTTTTCTTTGGCAAATAGGTTGATACAACACACATCACTACATAAAAAAGTGCCAAAATCATTAATATTATGAGCCCAATCTTCATTTTTATTTCTGTTCATCTAAATCAGTATCTGTCAGTATCTGTAAAGTATATAAAAATAGTGTTAACAGTCAGGATAACAAGTGCAAATAACAACAATATATCTGGTACTATATGTTCTAGCATAGTGTAAAGAAAAATCTAACATGAATTGTTCATGATTTTTTGTTTGTTTCAATCTTTAACTCGCATGTCAAGGGTTTGCTTTGGATAATACATAACATAATTTATTTAAGTATGATAGTGCAGACAGGTTGGCGCTTACATACACTCTCTAGAATCTCTTATAGGAACGTCAGCAATGGGTGTTAAGTTTCTTGCCCAGTAAAGCACCAGCTAGCACAAACCTAGCAGGGTTTAAACCTAGACTGCCAGCAAGTCCTCCTATCATAAGTCAAATGTGTGAAACACTCAGTCAGCCTGCTACCCTGAGCGACACTATGCGCTAGCTAGCAAATTGATTAATGTGAATATATATTTTAAAATTTAAAAATCCACCAACCCTCGAATGTTTCAGATACTATCTTAATTTACAGGATATTAACAGCTTCCACAACCGTCATTAAAACAATAAATTTCAAGAGAATCTACACGTGTGAGAGGTTTGTAAAACACTTACATTTTGAATAAGTCAGGACAACTGTCGACAATACGAGATGCTCAGCAGCCTTCAAATCGCAGCTAACCCAGATGATAAAATACTATTTTAGAAGAGACTGTGTTATAAAACGCCTCAATTAAATGGGAAAAATGTTCTAGAATATAAAGCGTTTTCGTCTGCCATATTTCATTCGAAAACGCGCCGATTTATGTCAGACAGGTAAGTCACAAATCAGAAGTCAAAAGTCACAAGTCATAAGTCGCAAGTCATAAGACACAAGTTAAAAGGGCAGGTTTATGCTTCCATAGGTACTGCCTCAGTCCTGTAATGAGTTAAATACTATCCTATGAAAGTCTAAGAATGTGCATAAATATAGTAGACCAACATTATTTAGTCATATTTGAACTTTCTATCATAGAACGCTACAACTAACAATATATTGCAATATGTTTTGTTTTTTTTCAAATCAGATAAGCTTTAAAATGCTTGAAAAGTGCAAATTTATATATTTTAAGAATTTTGTATGCGTATGAAATATGAATACATACTAGTATTTTCTCATGTACATAATCTTCCTGTATATAGAGATTTTTCCTAGGATTATGGGAACACGACCCATATCCATGGAATTTGGAATTTCAGCGGTGTTTTGTTAAGAATTGGGAAAAATATATGAATGAAATTTTGCAGTAATTAAATGAATTTTTTCCTGTAAATTGGGAAAATAATATACTATTTTCAATTGGGAATATGACCCAATAAAGGCTATAAAATAAGCCCAAAAAATCCCTGCCGTAATCACCATGTTGACAAGGTAAGCAGGTAAACATTGCGAAATTTTGTTCAATGTTGAATACGACTGTTTCATACTATGATATTCATTGTTTATATTTCACTATACCTTGAAAAATAATTGCAATCTGGTATAACAATTACTTAATCCCTTTGTATTTCCCTTAAGTGATTAATAATGCATAAAATCATTCGAAAGAAATCCGATTCAACTTGGCCCTTGTCTAACTCGTCCCGAAATTTTCTGGTACTAATTACAATTGAAATTGTTAAACAATATGACTCAAGTTCAGATCTACTTATTTTCATACATGTAGATCTGATTTCCACAGTTTTGCCTTCATCAGATGTAGGATTTCATGATATTTATAGTCAGTCCATAATTTTATAGATTTTTTATTTTGTAAATTTATAGACATTTATATGAAAAAAGTAGTTGTATTAAAATTCAAAACCATAGGTCAATAATAATTAGATTACTGATTATATTATTAAATATAACAGATTCCAGATAACGTGCGTATCGGCGTATTTTACGCTTCAAAATCAACTAAAAACACACAAGGTTACCAATTTGTTGCATTCATTTACTCACTCTGTAAATTAATTACTCAAAGAATGAAAATTTGAAGCGTTTTTGGTGTGTACTTTCATTTTCAAAACAGCTGATTGACCGCTTCCGTCATACACTGATGAAATTTACCTCATTACCTTTGTTGATATGAACAGTCAATAAAAACAACTTGTCTTTAGCAGCGGAATTTTATAAACATCATATTTAGTCATCTATATGATTATTATACCAATAGCATTCAAAAGTCTTATTGATGGAAGCATGTGAATTGGTAGAGGAAGGAATAATTAATCATGGCAGTGGCTAGCAGTATGAACCAGTATTGTTTGACAAAAGTGCTGGCTGTATGCGAGTCACATACGACTAGCATATACTCACTGTTGAGGCTAGCTGTACAGCATTTTAAAAATGAGTTGCTTAAAACAATAATATGCAAACTTATTTTTCTAAAAGAAGATTTTAGTGAATATCTTATATATACAATTTCAGTCAATGCGAAATTCAAAAAAAATTCCAGCCACAAGGACTGGGATCCTTAGATTTATTTCCGGCCCTGATGATTTTTCCCAGCCCGGACTCTGAAAGGTATTTTTTGTAGGGGTTGGGGAGGGATATTGCCATAATTATAAACAAAAATATTCAGCAAATATGAATTATCAGACTCAACTATAAGATACTATGAAAAAAATATACAGAAACATAATAAATAAAACATTAGCATAATTCACAAGAAAACAATACATCTTTCAAAGGTTTAATTTTGAAGAATGGAGAAAAAATATGTTTTGGTAAGGAAATTATCCAAGACAAGATGGTGGCTTACATAACTTAGCAAAAACTGGTCGTATCCTGCGGTGATTTTGGTTATCTGGGTCTGTGAATACAAGCAAAAATGAAAAAAATAGATCAATCTTGGAAGCTTTGCATATTTTACAAGGCCAAAAATTGTTTCAAACTGGCTGAAATTTTATTCTGACATGACCACTGACTGTATCGAAATTTATCTCGGCCCTCCTGATTTTTAGATGGCGAGGTCCGAGGACTGGCAGACTTTCGCAATTTACAGTTAGTATAGTAATTTTTAGTGTTTGATGATCAGAAGATTTTTTTTCCTTCTGAAAATCATGGACTTGAATAATTTAAATCTGTGTGAAAGCGCAAAGAGAAAGAGACTGAAAATTAATTTATTATTTCTATGGACAATATAGATGTAATACATTTGTAATCAAACATGTGGGTCAATTTCCAGCAGTAGTTGAATTATGACAAAGTATTTTTAATAATTTTATTTCACTTTTAGCTACTTGAAAATTTCATGCTGGATGTTTGCTTACCATTACATTTTGCATAAGAGCTCTATAATTGACATTAAAGTCCACGGGCCAATATCTTTCCATTATCTTGTTATTATATAAATGGCTGAACATCATCGTAGAATTATTAAGAAAAAATATATATGTTCATTCTTTGTAAAAATGTTAGGAGACTTGCAAGCTACTGACTTTATCATTGCATTTATTTATTATTGAAAAAAATGCTGAACGGCTAGCCGCAACAGTGTGTATAGGCTAGAACTTTCAGTTTGCATTTAGGGCCAAAATATATTGTTACAGTCATGACAGCTTTCCCGTTGCTGTCAACAAACTTTAACCTTGTTCATAACTTTTTCAGATCTAATGGCGTATTGTCTTCATACTTGGCCACAACAATCCTTCAAATAGACCAGACTAAACTTGACCTCCATATTAACATTCAAGGTAAAATGTCTAAATTTTCTTGATTTTTGCTATTAGTGGCTAGTTGTGCAGAATAATACAAACCCAGAACAATTTCATTTACTTGGTTTTGCAACTTACAATGGATTTTAAAGATAGTTGTTTTCTTAAAATTTCATGACAGTATAGTAGATTGTAAAGACATTTAGTACATACTGTATATACACTATAATTACTATAGTATACTATAAAAAAACTTTGTGCTTGGACAATTTTGAACAAATTGTTTCTTAAACAGTGTAAGAAATTAGGATTTGAATCGACTAGGCTGGTCGGACTACCAGATTGTAATATTCACTAGCCCAAAAGACATTTCACTAGCATGATTCATTTGTTCAAAACAGTTGTTTATATTGCCTCTGAAAGTACAGTAGCCTGGTCGGGCTTGTTACTGTGAAAAAATGGTGGCCCGAGGAGAAATTTAGGACTCGGGCTCTCAGACTACTGCTAATTTCAAACACTGTTTAAATTATTGATTTAATATCAACTAACATAATTATTGGGATACTATATGTATATCTAATAATAATTATATTTTATCTTTCCAATTTTCTGTTTCAGAAGGTCGGCCTACATGTCAGAATTGTGAATGTGAACGGCAGGATATCGATTTTAAGGATGCTTTAGGGTCAATGAGGATGAAATCAAGAGAGATAAAGGCTAAAATGTGAGACTGTCAATCTGACTAACCTTGAAGTGAATAAATGGAAAAAGGTTTCTTTCTATAGCATGGGCATTTAAGGAAGAGGTACATGATTATTTACAAGTATTTGTATATGATATTTCTTAATTATTATATAGCTTTTTTTCTCGACTTGTGTAAAGGCTGACACAGGACAGTTTATTTTAAGTCAGTGAGCTTCTGTCACTGGATAGACTACTGTCACAAAAAGCCAAATTTATATAAAAAAAGAATTACAGTGTATTTAAATATCATCTTATACTAGAAATTAGAAACAAAATTAGGTAGCAAGAACAATTGTGACATGTAACATGTATTTAGGAATTCAGCTTTCCTTTCCTTTTCATCTCATGAAAATTCACATTAAAATATTGAATATTCACAGTAAGCACTGTGACATATATGATCATCTTATCTTCACTTAGCTGTCTAGCTTATCAGAACACCCCCTCCCCCCCCCAAAAAAAATAAATAAAAAAAATGGAATTTTAATGTTGCAATTAACTTTTTCTAAACAAATATTTCAGGAAACAGAGGCGCTTGTATGATAGAACAGTAAAAGCAGGAGTGATAAGGACAGATACATGTAGATGTGTCTTCATGTCAGAAACACTAGAGAAATTTGAAATATTTTGGTTTTTCAAAACTTAAAAGAAATTGGAATACCAGCTGCCTGCCCTTTGCAATGTTGGATAATGAGTTCATAGATGTGATGTCGAAAACCTCATGAATATAGTACCATGACTTAATCTAATTAGAAAAAGAAATGACATTCAGGAGAAAACTAGTCACTAGTCTTTCACCAAGTACATGAGATAACTTTCATTTGAAATATCATAATATGTATAGAACTTTAATGAGCCACCAGTTTTTCACCAGGAGAATAAGATCATTTATCTATTTTTGAAATATGTATGAACTTCAAGGTGAGAGTTTATCACGAAGAACAGAACATGGGATAACCTATGTATGGACAGATCCACATTTGTATATAGAGGCGCCAGTTCATCACCAAGAAGATGAGCTAACTTATCAATGTTTGAAATCTGTTATACCCCTGTGCAACAAAGTTGTAAGGGGGGTATACTGGAATCAACTTGTCCGGCTGTCGGGTGTCCGTCGGCTTTTTCTTGTCCGTCCAATAACTTAAGATTCCTTTGACCCACAGTCTTCATTTTTGGCATGGAGGTTAGTCATTATTAGTAGATGACCCTTATGGATTTTGAGGTCAAAGGTCAAGGTCACAGGGGCTTTGACTTCTAAAAGCTTGTCTGCCCAATAACTTAAGAATCCTTGGACCCACAGTCTTCATATTTGGCATGGAGGTTAGTCATGATTAGTAGATGACCCCTATTTATTTTGAGGTGAAAGGTCACAAGGGCCTTGGCTAATTAAAGCTTGTCCGCCCAATTACCTAAGAATCCTTTGACCCACAGTCTTCATATTTGGCATGAAGGTTAGTCAAGATTATTAGATGACCACTATTGATTTTGAGGTCACTGGGTCAATGTCACAGGGGCTTTTATTACAATTAGCTTGTCTGCTCAAATGGTCTCATATATTCATCATAAAACACATCCAGGCAAGGCTGCATGAAATGGGGGGATTATTGAAGTCATTCAATGGCAGTTTCAGTTTTGAGGTCAGTAGGTCAAGGGTAAAGTTCACTTTGATCTTTTCCACTAAAACATGTAGAATACATAATTTAGCAATGCACTGGCTTACTTCCCTCAGATTTGGCTGGGAGGATGTCTTTGAGCTCTAAATGACTACTGTTGATTCTGAAAAATTGGTATGCGGGGGTATTCACGCCATGACAGTGGCATTTCTTGTTTGTACAGAAAAGTATCAAGGTGCAAGTTTCTTTTATTAAGAACAGACTTATTGTTTAGATAACTTACAATATTTACAAACATTTATAATACCACACCCATTTAATGTATTTCAGCTGAGAGTGTATTATCCAAAATACGTGTATTGTTATAATGTACTTTATAGTATATTTATTGATATATTTATTGTATAGTTTTGATTCTACTAGATTTTAAAAACATTTAGATTTTACTAGATCTTGAAAATATTTTATTCCATGCTCTTTCATTTAATTTTAAATAATGAATGCAAAAAATACCTATAATAAGTATAGGATTAAATTGATTATGTTTTCTATCTTTAACTTAATAAATATAAAAATACAAAAGTAATGTTTAAACTGTTAGTTAGAAGTTAGAATTCAATAAAACTTCACAGGAGTGTACAGTGCCATCCCTAGTTGTGCACATTGCCGGCATGTTCCGTTTCACTGGACAAAAAGGCCCCCAGAGTTAAAAATAGAAAAATCTATTACATGTTAAACCGCCAAAATTCAAAGGAGTGATCAGAACCATACACAGTTTTGGGAGACATATGTTTTTGTGACAAAAGCCCTTCAAGTTCATATATGGCATTGACCTTTATTTGATAAAAAAAATCTTTGGAGTTAGCTGGAATTGTCATTACTTTGATATTTTTTACAGATTTGATTCATGCTTGGACAAACCAACACAAAACCAACATGTTGAATTTTTCTGATATAACTTTGACCTTTAAATGACCATTACCTCCAAGGTTAAACAATTGAAATTCGCTCACATTGTCATAACTTTGTTTTTGTCTATGATTTGATTCATTTTTGGACAAAAGAACACTTATCATTCAACTATGACCTTTACTTAAATTTGTTGACTTTCAAATTTGAAATTTACTTCATACATTTATATTATGTTTTCTAGAAGTACTCTAATTGATATTACAATATTTTCCTACTGATGTGTTTGACTTTCAATATAAGCACTTTGATTCTGTTTGTAATGATGACGCGAGAAAGAAAGTGGTCATCTTTTTGCTCCATTGTCCGTATAAGGGTCCGAGATCCGGATACTTTCCGCCCTTTATCGGGATATTTGAGTAATCTCGACACCTAACGGACTTTGTTATCAAATTAGTTCAATTGGTGATTCATAGTATCAATTTGAAACCGACCTCGTCCGATCTTTAAACAAAATGATTTATAACAATAATGAAAAATATTTTATCAACTGGCGGTAAATCTACTAAACACCGGCTAGCATTTATTATCAAACGAACCAGGTGAAATACATGTAATAAAAATAGTAACTACAATAATTTATTGTAAATACGCATATATCCTGATGACTAAACTAAAATATTGTTTAAATTAAATTGTTTTGTCAGAATTGAATGTATACACCCGATGCAGAAATTAAACATGTCGGTCAGTTCGCAAAGTTTTCATAATGTCTGTCCTTCTGTAGATCTTTTGCAATTGTAACAAACAATTTGCGCTTTCTCCTTTCTCCATGTAATTCGCCGTCTTTGAATCGCTTGCGCCACTTTAAACCGAGAAACTTGCTCGGCAACTCAGTGTCCCTCGTTAATTTAACCATTTCATATACAGATGAAGGAGACCACATTTGTTGGTAAAGGTATACGGACAAAAGCCCCACCCCCTCTAAAAATGACAAGGTGGACAAAAGCCCCCTCATGAAATTTACAAGTAGGTCAAACCCCCCGTCAAAAATACAGGTAGGACAAAAGCCCCCCCCCCCCCAGTCCATAAAAGAATTGTTATTGACAATTTCGTCAGTTAAAATCCTGAACATGATGTATTGAGACAAGTCAAAATCGGTATGTTTAAGTTAACAAATAAATGCAATTGTCTTAAAAGATAATTATTTTTAAGATTTAAATTTAAAGGTACAAAAGTTCTCATTTGATTTATTGTGTAATTCGTGTATATAATTCATTGGTGATATGAATGTTTTTATGTTTACCTTATTATATATTGTGCAGTACAAATGTAAATAAATATTTTCAGAGAATCGCTTATCAACGCTTATCAAGGAAATAAAAGTGAAAGGCGCATACTTGTTCAGATTTATTTGAAGTATAACCCAAGTTCCCGAACACTGGGCATGTGAAAGAAGATAGTAATCAGTCTGGTCTATAAACCTTAGGGGGGCTTTTGTTTGATGGACTGGGGGTGGGGGTGGGGGGCTTCTGTCCTATCTGTATTTTTTTTTTTGGGGGGGGGGGGGCTTTTGTCCTATGTGTAAATTTAATGGGGGGGGGCTTTTGTCCACCTTGTCATTTGGGAGGGGGCTTTCGTCCGGGCGGGGGGGGGGGGCTTTTGTCCTACACTCGTTGGTAAACATTTCGGAAAATGCGAATTTCAAGTTTTTAAACGGGCTTTATATTTTGCAATTTACCCGACGGTCTACTGCTGATAAAAACCTGTTTGTCCAAACGACGTCAAATGTTAGATTTTGACATCTGGGAAAAATCGCAGTTATCAAAATGCTTTTAATTTCAATTTTAAACCATCTTTTTAAAGCCCTACCGTCACCACCTAAAGACATGATAAATAAACTTAATAATATGTTTTATGATTTTATATGGCAAGGAAATGTTAAAATAAAAAAACTGTTATGGTCAAGGACTATTCGGAGGGAGGTTTAAAAATGTTAAATTTAAATGCTTTTATAATGGCATTAAAGATAAGCTGGTTCAAAAGAATGATTAGCGATGCCTGTTGTAAATGAATTTGATATGCAAAAATGGTTTCACTGTGGAAAACATTACATAGATAAAATCGCAAAAAGCACTTTAAACGTTTTTTGGAAAGACACTTTTAATGCTTTATCTACATATATAGATAAGTATCCTATAAATTACGAATCCTTCGCAGAACTAACATTGTTTTATAACAATAAATTACTAATTGGCAATAAAAGTATATTTCTTAATTCATGGTTTAAAGCCTGTGTATATTATATGGGAGTTATGTTTGATTCTTACGAGTCTTACGGTGCTTTTCTTTCATTAGAAGATTTTAATAACATATTGAGGCTTAATGCAAACTTTTTAATCTTTCATGGAATTAAAAAAAAAAGAAGATAAATGAAGTGATGATAAAATTTAATTTTAGTATGAATGACGTAAAAACAACTTCAAGTTGCTTGTGGACCAAAATTGCCTCCTTGTTTAAAAACCATAATTATAAACAATAAAGGATCAAAACAGACTTGCAATTTATTGAATACTAATAACACACAACCAACAAGTAATGTAACCTGGATGCAAAAGCTTGATCTACATTTTAAAGAAAGCAAATGGAAAGAAATTAACGAAATGCCTTTTGAAATAACAAGATTCTAGGATACAGTGGTTTCAAATTAGGATTCTTCATAGAACAATTGGCACTAACTATTATTTACATAAAATTTTATGATTTTGTACATGGGAAGAGTCAATTTATACAGACATTATAACATCAGTGTTAAAGTATAAAAACAAGTAAAACATGTTAGACATATGAGATCATTATTTATAAGTATTTGGTTACTTAGAGACTAGAATATATATAAACAAACAGAATAATAATATAACTTAGTAGTAAATGTAAATATGAAATTAAGAAACCGCGGTCTGAACCGTTGGAAATTATGTTTAATCCTTCAAAAAGAGCTTAGTAAAACAATCTACTCTTTCCGCAGCCTATACTGCCTTCAAATATGTAAAAATGATCACACTAGCTAATTAGAACAATCTACTCTTGCTGTAGCCTACCCTATTGGCCCATTTGATCCTTCAAATGTAAAAATGACCACAATAGCAAATTAAAACAATCTACTCTTGCCGCAGTATACACTGTCGGCCAATGTAATCAAAGCGCTGAAAGCACTGAAGTATTCGCTGCTCATTTATGAGTGTCTTACTAAAAACGTTGACATTGTAAAGCATAAAGGAATATGAGCCACAGAATTACAGATTATTAATCTGATAGAGACATTAACACTGGTTATTGAATATTATATTGAAAGAGGGAAGAAACTAAGAATAAACTAAATGAGAACAAATTTATTAACTGTAAACACTACATTATCAAGTGGTACAATAAAATTTAAATCCAAAATATGAATGCATGCAGTACATACTTGACTAGATCCTTAACATGATGCATAAGAGAATTATGTTATAATAAATATATATCCAGTAACAATACATAAAATAATATATTGCTACATAAGCTTCAAATGTAATGAAAGACAGATTACCTAGCTAAAGCATTTCAGTTTTTCACATGATAAAAAGTGAAACTTAGAACATGTTAATTTCATGAAATTTGAGAAGAAAAAATAAGGTTTTTTGTAAAATACTTTAATTTTAACTAGAACTGCCAATATCATGGCGTGAGTACCCCCGCATACCACTTTGTCAGAATCAACAGTGGTCATTTAGAGCTCAAGGACAACCTCCCTGCCAAATCTGAGATTACTAAGCCAGTACATTGCTAAGTAATGTATTCATGCTTCAAATGTGAAAATGACAAAATCAATACTCTGCGGACAGGCATTCATAAGCAAAGCATTTGAGCAGACAAGCTTATTATAGTAAAAATCCCTGTGACATTGAGCTTTGACACAGTCAGTTAAAATCAATAGTGGTCATCTACTAGTCATAAACAACCTCAATACCAAATATGAAGACTGTTGACCAAATTATTCTTCAGCAATTGAGCAGACAAACCTTTTCAGTCAAAGTCCCTGTAACCTTGACCTTTGACACAGTGACCTCAAAATCAATAGGGGTCACCTTATTGTCACGATCAACCTCGACGCCAAATATGAAGACTTTGGGTCAAAGGTTTATGAAGTTATTGGGTTGGACCAACTTTTTGAAGTATAGTGCCGTGTGACCTTGTCCTTTGCCCTCAAAATCAAAAGGGATCATTTTCTAATCATAACTAACCTCCATGCCAACTATGAAGACTGTGGGTCAAAGGATTTTAAATTATTGGGCGGACAAGCTTTTTTAGTCAAGGCCTCTGTGACCTTGACCTTTGA